AAATCTATTGGACCGATATTGAAAATTTATTTATCAATGGAAAGCCACATTATTTTTGAGTATCATAGTTTCATAATCCAGAAAATTTCAAATACTTTTTCGCAGTAGTCGTATTTGCGAAGTCAGTCGAAGAAAACGAAACGAAAACCGAAAATGTTTCTTTCGACCGATGATAGTTCGTTACATAAAAACAAGTCTTTCACCGTGTCTCTGTGTCCGTTAACTCAATAACAACTGAACCAATTTTATTGCGGTTATATATATTTTTTTTGTTGCCAATATATAGAATGATTTATTCGGAAGCTTTAGGTATACATTGTTGCCCGTGTAATGCCGCATTACTAATAACTGTATGAAACGTTGAAAATGAAAGAATAATATTATTCTTATCCTAATAAAGCTTAGGGGATTGACGGGATAATCTTTCTATTTGCCGATTAATTATTATACCCATTAATGTAGATTAGAAACATGAATGAATATCAAGACAAATCTTGCCATTACGCCGTTAATAAGAAAACCGCAAGATACAATAGTAAATAAAAATATAATACTTTTATTTGTGCTTTCTTTTGTATAGTGTATGCATTTAATAAACTCGATGTTATTTTTGTAAGTTGATCATAATTGTAGTGATCAGATTTATTTATAAGGATTCAATAAAAATAAAATATGTTTATTATGGAACAGGTATCACTTATTCCGCGTTATTAAATTTGAATCGGTAGGCATTCTTACTCATCGGCAAAGAAGACAGAGGGTGTAAGGTCGAGAGAAAAGCCGGCGTAAAAACTCTCGGTACTCTTTTAAAATAGCAAATCATCAAACAACACTTATTTTAAAACAAATATCGCAAATTAATTAGAAGTAGCCTGTCTAGCACTAGTTCCAGAAACTACTAGTCCCAATAATTTATGACTTCCAAGAATCTTAAACAACGCTGTAAATTAAATAAAAATAAAAAGCTTGGTCCCTGTAGAGTAGACAGTGCATACCTTGAGCGAGAAAGCACCAGCTTTTGGGTCAGTGATACCATTTACCAGGCTCCAACTTAAATCTTTAAATAGCACCTGTGCACTTAAAGCCCCCTGGGTCACGCGTATCAACTTTAAAAGGAACAAAGTCAAAGATGGGCAACCAGTAGATTTTGAATAAATCTTTAAGTTGAGAAATCTTTTTAAGTATTTGACATAAAAGTAATTCCAACAAAATCAATGATAAAACAATATATACAACAAAATAAAATAATTAATCAGTGGCGCTACAACCTCTTTAGGTCTTAGCCTCATATTTCTGAATCTGTTTCATGATCATTTTTAAATCTAATAGGCAAGTAGGTGATCAGCCTCCAGTGACTGACACGCCGTCGTTTTTTGGGTCTAAGACATGTTGGTTTCCTCACAATGTTTTCCTTCACCGTTCGAGCAAATATATGCGCACATAGAAAGAAAGTCCATTGGTGCACAGCCGGGGATCGAACCTACGACCTCAGGTATGAGAGTCGCACGCTGAAGCCACTAGGGCAACACTGCTCTCAATATATACAAGCAAATATATTAAACAAAGAGATGTGCTCTAATAAATAAAATTATCGACATTAAAGTCTAAATATTTACGTCATTATTTGCACTATAAGAAGAAACGTGTCTTAATCTTTCATTGCATAAACACAATTCGTCAGAAAGAGACAAATGACTAGTTTAAAAAGTAACAAAGCTATATATGGTGTCCAAATAAAAAGGGTATAGACAATAAACTATATTGAAATATTACTCGCATTATGATAGTTTGGTCGTGTCCCAAGTCTGAGCCTTTCTGACAAATACCAATACGTTTGTCGTCACATGTCAATAAATTGCGTACGAGCTTTCCTTATCTATTCCCTGTTATGCTTCGATATTTGGGATATGCTCGGTAAACAGTCCAAACTGAACTGTCAGGGCTCTTAAGGCTAACAGTGGGTAATGTTTTTTTTTTTTTGAAAAAAGTTATTCGGTAATGTCGTAATGAGTAAGTTGAACACTCTCCTTATACGTAAATTTATCAATGAAGTATTGGGATTGATTTGCTTCAGTTCAAATATGTATGGCTGCTCTGCTTTACGAACAATTTGTATGACTCAGAACTTGGCGATTAAATAGAGTGGCGGAGAGTTTCTTGCCAGTTCTTCTTGCTTGCTCTACTCCCGTGATTTGCGAACTGGTAGAAAATGTTAATTTAGAATCAATTTAACATCTTTTCTGGTGACGTTCATAAGTGTAGTTGGTTACCTATATCAATAATGTTATTTTGAGTTTGAGTTTTGAGTACAATTTACAACGACGGGTGATTAAAATATTGGCGAAGCCTATACCCGCCATGAGACTGTCGAACAGCCAGGTTTGGCATCTGCGCGATATAATTAGTATGAGGTCTTTTATGACCAGGAATTTAATAAAAATAATTAATTACCACTATAACATGTTATGATTAGCCCTTTGTGCCTGATATGTCGTTGATTTTCATCTAATATATGATTTTCTCATGATGCTTTCTTACTTTCACCACGCAAAGCGTGAAGTTATATAATTGCGCACATAAAATTAGTATTTTTTTTTTGTTGTAGACTTGTTAGAAAAGGATTGATTAATTTAAAAGATGTGTCTACCAAACATTGTCAGTTTATGTTCACGCTGAGTCATTAAATAAAATGCATTTTTATCTCTGAATAAACATTAAAACATTATTATCCCATTTCTTAAAAGTAGCAAGTAGCAAATACGATTACCTTAACTATAAAAGCATCATAACCCAAAGCCCAAGGGTACTCTCAATATTATCATTGTTTCACTGCGAGATTTCACCATTTTCTTAAGTCACCCAGGCCGATATTCGAGATAGGACCGCTTTCATACTTGATAGTGTTCTGGGGAATTTCATATCACACATTTTAACGTATGTAATAATTTTCCTTTAGATAAACAGTAGACATTTTTGTAAGTTCAGACAAAATCACTACATACAAGTATAATAAATTGAATATAAAAGCAGTATTACGTTATTGATTTTAAAATTATTAAAATTTCCATCGTTTCCTTTATTGCTGAAGATCGTATAAGATACCTGCTGCCTTGCTAGTGATATCTCTCTTTGTTCCGTCTATGGCTTCCCTTAGTGCAGCTTTTCTGGGGAGACCCGTGAGAATCATGATTTGGTTACACCAGCGGATTGGCTATCTGCCCCGTCGTCTTTTGTTTCCACCTTGTGACGAATTTTTTTTATCAGGAAAATAATTTTTCAATAAAAATATGTATATAATAGTGATTTAAACAGTAAATTATATTCTCAGCGTCAAAATTTTTAAATTTACTTGAATTAATATACAGGTGGTGTAACGAATTGATTTCAACGCTTTGGTTTAAAATTAAAATGTGTATAATGTATATTATGTGTTTAATCTAATATATAAAATTCTCGTGTCGCGGTGTTTCTGGTTAAACTCCTCCGAAACGGCTTGACCGTTTCTCATGAAATTTTGTGTGCATATTGGGTATAACTGAGAATCGGACAACATCTATTTTTCATCCCCCTAAATGTTAAGGGTAGTCCACGCCTAATATTTTTTTTAATTTTTAGATATAAAAAATACATACAACCCCTAATTTTCACCCCTCTACGATCAACCCCTATTTTTCATTATAAATGATAAACATGGCAAAACGACGTTTGCCGGATCAGCTAGTAATATAATATAATATGTACTTTATTATATTTTATTTAATGTTTCTCGACATTATCGTATTAGCATAGTCTGTAAGGGTAATGTATGTATTTCTGTAATAAATAAATAAATAAATAAAATCGTGGCAACACCTAATGATGTCTCGCAGCTAGTTTATAATAGAAATAGTAGTTGTCAAGATAGTCGCAGAAAGAAACCTAAAAGAGGCTTAGTTTAGACGTGTCAAAGCTCTGTACCACGATTTTTTTACGTTTAATATACGTTGGTTTTGGTAACTTAATATTTCTTTATAAATAATATGAACGTAGGTACCTTGTTTGACGACAGTGGAAGTGCTATGTTATATTTGGCCTATATTTAATAATATTTATTTTACAATTTAGTGATTAAAGTTTGGCCATACCTACCCTAAAGTTTTAAGATACTGTTCATATCGTTTAAGATTATATATTCACAGATCCAGTATGACCATTTTATGATATAACCGGAAAAAAACTTTCATGTATTATTCCAAGATTTCATAGTTATAACTACTTTGATATCAAGCGACACGTCAAACATATTTTAACAATACTTTAAAATATTTAAATAGTTTTTGTTATTTTTACATTCAAATAGATTTGGACGATATATGTATTGATTATTAAAAAGATGAAATATTACGACCAATTTAAATTTACATGTTATTTTAAATTTTACAACGTAAACGAAGCGATACATAAAATAAAGCGACCTTGGTACGGGGTACGGAAGTAGTTTGAGAGGACAGCCGATATTAAATCCGCAAAGTTGTCTTCTTATCTCGTGGTACGTGGATTCAATTATAGGAGCTTAAGATTTCCTTCAAATAAGATTCTTACTTCACTAGAAAGCGCGAGAAAGTACGCTGCTTTTCAAAGTGCAATGTGCTTCTCATACAATAAAAAATCTCGTACAATGGAACAGATCGACTTATCCGTAGAACAGAGTCCGATGTGATCATGGAGCAAAAATGATTTTAATAGCTAAACGAGATAAGGAATACGAACTCTACAGATGTACGTTTTTAGAATTTTCGTATCTTGTTTAGTTTCGGAAATATAGAATCGAATAACGCACCATCTGACATTAATTCCGTATAAAAACGCACGAAGTGATCTGGAGGGCGGAGCGGGGCGCGGGGCCCGTCCGCTGTCACTCCGGCCGTGTGTTGGAGAGAGGATGTGTCATGCGTCAGATTTTTTCTGGTTGATGTACAAAATAAATTAAGTGCTTTGCATGTAATAACATATTTTTAAAGATGTCACGTTCAAAGAAAATATTAGATATGTACAAAAAAACTGATGCAGAAAGGCCTGAGCTTAGTGCACCATTTTCAAATGTTCCTACTGATTATACGAAAAAAAGTGTAAATACTGGTATGTTGACGATTTCAGCTGTATTATTTTCGCGATACACACTAATAAATTCTTAAATTAACAAACATCATATCTGTATTGCTTTAATATTGCATTTTTGTCTCATTAAAGCGTTGTGGGCGATTGATTTTAATATAGGACGTTTCATGCCGAGAGGTATAGAAACGCATTTGTAGTGCGAAAATCATGCGAAAAAGCAATTGGCATAATGTTTAGTCACAGAGTATTCATTCTTTCTGTTATAATAAATAGTAAAAAGTAGAAGTCTTACGAAACATAAGGACGATTTTATACGAACATTATTGGTATTTTAAGCGTGTATATGAAAATAGGACGTTTTTCTACGGAATCTTTAATATGATTTCTTGGTTTGATATAAGAACGTGTACTGGGATAATGACATCAGTAGATGTTCATTTAAAAAACTAAATAATAATATTATAAAGTTTTTTTGTTGCATTCATTTCTTAATAATTTTTATGAATACCTATAATAATACTATCCAGTATTTTTTTAAATTTCAGCTCTGAACGTTGATGACAACGACATTAGACAACAAAGCTCACCTTTGCCTTCCGGTGCAGAAGAAATCAGGTCAAGAACTAGCTGATATATGGGAAGAAGTTCTGCATGAAGATGTGGGACCGAAGAAATTACCTGCGATAGCCCAATACCGAATGTGTCTGATCCGTGCAGAGTTTACGCAATCAACCTAGCACATTTTCTTTGGAAGTGCCTTCTAGTTTCGAGAATTCACCATCAGCTTGAAGAGTTGTTAGAAGTTTCTCACCACAGATCTACCCCAGTTAATTTGGAACTGTCATGCCAACTCCTATGCCATCTCCTACTAATCTCCATTCGATCTGCGAGCTCATTCTGCCCTAATCATGCAGACTTATTATCTATGATTTCTTCGTCGTCATTTAGCACCACAAATTCACCTTTTCTTCGCACGTAAGCTATGCCACCGTGACTCCTAAAACGACTAGAAAACGACAGAGGCGCCCAAAAGAATGGACAGACGTTAAACGCAAATGCCTTAAAAACTTAGGTAAGAAATATGTCACGAAAAAGGAAAAGCCGTAGACGAAAAACGATGGGACCATCATGTAAATGCCGTTACAAATGTCCTGATAAAATATCTCACCAAGCGGTTGGAATGCTTCACAAAATTTTGGCAACTGGGAGATCGAGCTATGCAGTGGAATTTTATCATCAAATATTCCGTTAAAATGAAGAAGAAAAGAGCCTGAATCAAGACACTCCTAATAATAGAAAACATACTTTTAAGTATTATCTGCCGTGATCACAGGTTCTAGCGAGTCTCACTGCGAAAAAACCGAAGTATGCCAAACTATGTTTATTAATACTCTTGCCGTTTCAACTCGTTCTTAAAAACTGCATGGAAGAAGTACGAGTAGCGTATTTTGGAAGAGGACAGACGGGGTCGCCACGATAATCATAAGAGTTATAGATGACGCAAGAAACAAAGTGTTTGTGACCATGTTCGGGCATTTGTCCCTGTTGAATCGCATATATACGCAAGAAAGCCAAAAGCTCTACCTACAAGGAGACTTAAGCATTGCCAAAATGTTCAAATTGTATCTTGAATGGTTCGACTGGAGAAATACACCTCTAAGGCTACAAAGGAACGCCAATATCGTGACATTGTCAATTTGAACTTTAATCTAGCTTTTCATATTCCCAAAAGGATCAGTGCGACGAATGTCACGTTTTTCGATTGAAAAAAATCCAACAGACCAAGAAAAAGAAACTTTTCAACAACACCAGGCTAATAAAAAGGTCGCAAGGAATTTAAAAAGCCAAGATAAGAAAGACGCTAGGAGTCAAATGGAAACATGGTTGCTGTGTGTTTGATTTTGAAAAAGTATTGCAGTGTCCTCATGGCAATATAAACATATTTTACTATAAGAGAAAGTTATCTTCATTTAACTTCACAGTTTTTGACATGGGTAAAAGGAAGGCCGTTTGCTATATGTGGGATGAATCTGTGGCAAAACGTGGCGCAATGAGGTCAGCAGTTGCCTCTTGATTTTATTCAGACTAATGTTGACGAGGGGTCAAAGAGTTTCGCTTTTGGTCAGACAATGTGTGGCCAAAATCGTAACCGCTTTGTATTTTCAATGTACGTTTACGCAGCAAAAAAGTTCAACATATACATAACACACCGTTCTTACAGAAAGGACACACCCAAAATGAAGGGGACAGTGTCCATTCTGTCATAGAGAGAGCTTCTCAAACCAAAACTATATATTCCCCGCATGAATGGCGTTTATTAGTAAGATGGGCTAAAAATGAAGGAGAACCCTATTGTTCGCAACGTAACCCAGAATGACGTATTTGACTTTAAATGTCTTGTTATTAATAAGTTTGGATGAAAGACATCAATGGCAAGAAATTAACTGGAGTAACATTCGAGAGTTCATGCAGACGGTAGTGATCCAAACAAATTGTTTTTTAAAATGACCTAACTCAATCTGATTACAATATTTTAGTGATTCGCGGTAACACCCGGAACTCAATACAAACTGAATACAACCTGCTTATTCTGAACCTATTATGGTTCCTCCCGCTAAATATAAAGATTTAATGGATTGTGCCGTTCGGAAGTTATTCCCTTCGAATATCATCCATACTTTAACTCTTTACCACATAACACCTCTGTTGATGTTTCTGAAAAATTTGATGATGATTTATCGGAATAAGAAACATTTTAGACATTTTTTTTTTTTTTTACTATGTTTTTACCGATTTAGAGAAACAATGTTAATCGTAATAAGTACTAAATAAGTTATTTAATGTTTGCCTACGTGCAATTTCATTGCTATAAATAGTATAAGATCACGTCTAGGTCACAATGTAGACTGATTAATAATATTTTGAGGCTGAATATCTCCATTTCCTGTTGTAATGATAAATATTTAGTAATTTATGTTTGAGACTGCTAATTTAAGACAGTTACCTAGTTACCATGCTGTGAACGAAATGCCATTTAAGTTTTAACTTTTACGCCACCAAATGTTGGTATACTTACGTAAATTGTTTGTTATTAAGTATGTTTGTTTGAACATATCGTTGATTTTATAAAGAAGTTTAAATTTCTCCATACGCGTCTCCTGTAATGTTCCCGTACCGTACCTACTTGATGTGTGAAAAATTATGTTTCTAATAGTTTTGATATTATTTTGAGATTTTTTAAACTAACTAAAAATTTTTAATAATAATTTTATTTTTTATTTAGTTACATGGGAGGGTATTCATCATGCGAACATTATGTTTAAAAATGTAAGATGTTTATTTACATAGGACTCAAAGGAATGGGTAATTCCAACAAAAAATTACCCATGTAAAGAACGTCATTTAATTCAGACGTCTCCGTAAACAACGTAAATGTTATTTCGGACCCTCGCTCTTCGCCATAAAAGTCCTATGTTTATATGGAACTCACTATCTCGTGAAATAAGAGGATAAGAAATTACACTACATAGCATTTAATAGGCTGGGGTGTTGTCACAACAACCAAAAATCAAATGTAAGTCTCACTGTTTAAGAATTACACAAGTCAACAACTTCTCTTACCTCTACTGTAAACTATCAATCCTAGATGGGACTCTGTTCTACGGATAGTCGAGATATATGTCCTGTTAATGGTGATTGTTTTTTAGAAGTCCAATTAGTAATGCTATTTAATGTATGTAGCATAAATTTATTTAAATTTCATATTTCGCCCTTCGATATGAAGCTTTAGAAGCGAATAAATGTAAAAAAATACAAACTAGTTTTTAAAGGAAGATATAACTGTCTCTAATAAAAAAAAATTTGAATGTGGCATTACTATTCCTCTTAACACGAAGGGAATTTATTAAATGATCGAACAAACCAAATCATTGCCCTCAGTTAAGAATGTATACCTCTATAATCGATTAAATACTTCTGAGCAGAACAGAAATAGGCAATTATTTTCGTGGGTGGCGTTACGCATTCACGCGGCCCAGCTGCCTCGTGGTCATGGTTCATGTGGGACTCACTGCTGTGCATACCCACTAAAACCCCACGGTGCCACCAGCCACGGTAACAGCGTAGTCTTGTCCATATCCCGCCACGAGCAAATGACTATCGCTTAATAAAGATACTTAAGTAGAATTTATTTTAAAATCCGTGGCGAATTGAATTTCCTAACCATTTCGACTTTAGGGTTCTACAAGATAAACGTACAAATTCTTAAAAGGCCGGCAACGCATTCGCAATCCCTCTGGCATTGAGAGTGTCCATGGGCCGCGTTATCACTTAACTTCAGGTGGGACTCCTGCCGTTTGCCCCTTGTTCTATAAAAAAAGGGATAACAAAGTAAAACTGGAATTAACTAACAGAAATTACATATAACAAAAATCAATATACTAAGGACATTATACATAATATAAAAAGGTTCAAACATTTACTAAAAAAACAATAACAAAAAAAAAATTTAACTAAGTGTTACCAAATTCGGGTGTATTGTGTGATGGTGTGTAAGTGAGGGTATGTACGTGAGTTTGTATGTGGGGTGAGCTCATGATATAGGTGATTTAGCTCTATGGATAATGGATATTCTTAATAATCATTTTAATCATATTCCGCGGTAGCATGTATGTAATACTGTATTAAAGGCTAATAAATGAAGTTAAGGTAACTGCATAACGTCGTCATTAGTATTCCTAGAAAGTTGCTAGAAAAAGAAGTGTGAATTTAGAACAACAATAAATCGATGCTAAAAGCAAAGTTATATAGAGTCAACGCAACGTTCAGAAACTTTCAAAGTGGGCACTTTAAGGCCGTAAGTTATAAGCGAAATAAGATTAATCACATACCTTCATAAATTACGTTACGGGCAAAAAGCAATGCGTTTAAAATTATTAATGTTCACTTGTAGAGTTTGACTTGATCTAGTATTTGATGGCGGTTTAAAATTATAAAGAATACCAGATAAACTCTTCAATAATAATTGTTATATTCATCAGGAAACACACCACCTATTCATTAAAAACCGTTTGAAAAAGAATGTACGTACGTATAAAATATGTACGGATATAATTTCAGAACCATTTCGACTTTAGGGTTCTACAAGAAAAGAGCGTATTATTAATTAATAATTAATAGAGCCGGCAACGCACTCGCGAGCCCTTTGGCATTGAGAGTGTCTATGGGCCGCGTTATCACTTAACATCAGGTGAGCCTCCTGCCCGTTCTATAAAAAAAGCGATTAACGTACTAAAACTGGAGTTACTAAAGATGCATTGTATTTTGTATCCTACAGCTAACACAAATTATATAGATAAAGATAATACAAAAAGGTTGAAACATTTACAAAAAAAAAGCGTGTGGCACTCGGGGACTGCCGCGGTATAGCTATTGCACAGCATTTTTTATCAACTTATGCAATTATAATTAATTATTATTTATTTATTTCATATTTATGCAGTATTTTATTTCTTTGATATTAATTCAATCTACCACTCTACCAGACTCAGACTAACACGCCTATATAGTGCGTCAGGTTATTTTCGTTACCGAATTTCTTGATTCGGTCGCCGCGCTCAAGACACGAGATAAAATCTATGCAATAGCTTAAAAAATACAAATGATTTAATACATATAACTAAGTAACAACTAATTCGGGTGTATACGATATCTACGGATACGCATTTGGTTTGGTTTC